TATATATATATTTTAGCTAAGAAAGATTTTCTGATGGGTAAATAAAAGAGAAAGCTGACATGACTTATTACAGTGCAGAGAAAGAAGAAATGTTAGTGAAACCACACACATATAAAGAGAGAAACAGAGAAAGAGAGAGAGAGGGGTTTTGTGTTTAGGACGACTTTTGCATTAATTACCTGAAACAGGCTACAAAAAGTTTCTCAAGAACAAATAAAAATTTGCCTTAAAATACGTAGCCATAACCTTTAATGGCTAAAATTCAGAAATATATATATATATATATATATATTAGCACGGTTTTCATTTAATTCTAATAATACTTAATAACACATTGTCTTTCAGTAGTTGAACCATGGCGTTCGTTTGCTTGTGCTCTTGCTCTTCCTTCTCTCTTCTCTCACCTCTGTGGTTTCCCCCATTTTCTGCTTTCACTCTTTGCCGAGGCAGACGACTGAACACTGATTCAAGCGAGTCTCCCCCCCCATCACCACCACCACTGCCAACATACTGTCTCAGTACGTGGCTTAACTTGGTTCTCAGTAATCTTTATAAAACTCAATCTGCTCTTTGTTGTATTTTTAATGTAAACTCAATGTGATATAGACCTGACTAAAATTCTCCCTCGTTATGGCGGTGTTATGATCCATAGTGCTGAATCATAATCATAATAAACCGCTGCCTTTGTCTGGTTGTAGCTTCCTGTGTTCTCTGCCTCCAGCTGTGTCTGAGCAGCAATCAAATGTCACTCATTTGATTGACAAATGACCGTGTGGCTAAATATGACATTATGCAGTATTTCCTTTATCCACATATAAGGCATATACAAAATTAATATTTACATATTATATTATTTTATATATAAGAAATGCCTCAAAATGCAAGTTTATGCCACAAAACATTCTGTCGTCTCTCCACTTGGTGGCGTTTGATCGAATGTCTTACTGTTTCCACTTTACAAACCCAAAAATGTCCACTGAACTGCGTGTCTTCCCTTACTCCAACTGTAGAGGGCGGTGCTGCTCTACTTGTGCAGCCCTCTGTGTTGAACGTGACATTAACTGCTCTCATCTCTGTTCATTTCTCTTCTCTCTACAGATGGTAGTCATGATGTCATGAGGACAGGACTGTCTACTGTGGACTGGACTGTCTACTGTGGACTGGTTAAATTGAAAAGTTTTAGGGAAGATGATGAGAAGAAAGTTTCTTCATGGAACAGATCTTTAACACTGCAGCTGTTTGGTTTAGTTTTCAATCCAGTTCAACCCAGTTTTCCCAGGTATCCCAGTCCTTTTGTTATTTTAGAAACTTGTTGATCGACAGAAAGAAAAAACACGTTCTTCTAGACAATGTTTTTCAGTTGTTTTTTATTTCAGTTATGCCGTCCTGTTGGGACACAAACACAAAGAAGACAGTTAGACTGCTGACTGCTGGAGTTTTGAAATGATTTTTTTCTTACTCAGATTTTGTGGTTTCTTCTACCGAGTTGTAAATGTTGCATAAATAATCAGTGTTCAGATAATGATAGGTTGTGTCTGAGTCCCCCTCCTCTGTTGAGTGTTTTTTTTTTC